TCTGCAGTTGTGATGTGTTTGGTGAAGGTTTGGGTGAGAGTTTTAGATTTTTGTAGGTTTAAATGTCCTTCAATAAGTATGTGTATGATAAATTGGAGATTTTGTTAAAATTACATTAGTTTGAATGACTTTTTTGATAAAACTGAATTGCTAAAGCATTTTTTGGGGACCTTTGGAAACGGTTTGTTTTATGGGAACCATTGGAGCATGTCTACATATTCCCTATCCATTCATATTGTCGCTGACTTCTTCTAGGAGGAGTTTAACAAGGCATGAAAGCTAATTAGCATAAAACAGTGTCACAACTTGGTTACTTAGACTCCACATGGTTATAGTAAGTAAGTGAAGCATTTTGATCGCAACTTTGCACTATTTATCAAAGACCAATGATGTTCTAGCCTCAGTAGCCCCTCCCTTGCTATGTTAATAAGGAATCCCGGACAACCTACCCATTATATGATTATAACAGCGAGAGATTTAGAGTTGATTAAGCTTTAGAGCAGTGTTTTCCAAACTTGTTTGAACCACGGCACCAAGCATGCCGCTCGCGTTATTTACAAGAAAATTCTACAGCACACCAGTGTGCCGCGCACACAGTTTGGACAACACTGCTTTAGAGCCTGAATGAAATTAGAATTCAAAGCTTTATTTGCAGATCATTCAATATTAACTCAGAATATTTAAAAATTATTAATATTTCTATCAGTCTTAGGGGCCGTTCACTTATGACGTCCGACATTTAGGTGGGGAGGGGGTCTAGGATATTGTGGCAGTTCAAACAATGAAAATTTTTTTTTGTATAGAATTTTTGTGACAGAGGTGGGGGGGGGGGTCTAAAAATCAGGTTTTTTGATGGACGTCATAAGTGAACGACCCCTTAACACTTTTTATCTCGTAAATTACATCAAATTGTCAGTAAAATTATAAAATAAATTCAAAAACTGGAAAGCAAGAATTTTTTTTGATATTTTCGAAAAGCTTTTTCTTTCTCACTTTTTAATCTATTTTTTTCTAAAAATTTCACTAATTTCACCAAATTTTTCAACGTTTTTCAGATTCTCAGCAAAACGTTAACTCAAATTTAACACTTTTTCTTAATTTTTATATCAAAAAGTCACTCAATAATTTTTTTCATCACAAAAATGACCCCAATTTCCATACCAAGTGCAATTCCGCCCATAAAGTTCATCAAAAATTCTTCACAACAACCACAATTCGTGACAAAAGCCTGATAAAATCAGCACAACACACGATCGAATTTAATTAATGCAATTAAAGTTTTTTTATGTAAAAAATTAAAAAAATCACGAAAAACTTTTTCTTCTCTCAAGTTAAAAAAAATTCCTTCCAATTTTCGAATGGAAAGCTTTAGATTTGGAAAATGAAAATTTATTGCATTTGTATGTGTGAGAATTGGAAGCTTCGTCGATGAAAATGTAAACAGAAATTCCAAAAAAGCGCGGATATTTTTTTTTTCATTCATCCACGTGAGGATTAAAATAGTCAATGAGAAATTTTCCTTTTTGTGAGGACATGAAAAAAAAATAAATTTTAGTCACGTGGAATCATAAAGTTTTATGGCCATTGCAGAAGTTGACTGTTGCATACATTTGCTCTGTGGATGGGCTGGAAAGGGATTTTGTATAATTTTTAGGTCAAATTTAATTTATTGGATTGTCGTTATTTTGGGGGTGCTGCAGTGGGAATAAAGGAAGTAATTGAGTAATTGTGTCAGCATTTGGGAGACGGGATGGAGTTTTTTTTGTAGATTTATTGACTTTTGGGATTGCTAATGTCCTCATTAATGATTCTTCGATGGGATACATTTTTTAAAAATTAGAATTAAATCTAGAGTCAATTTGACCTTTTCTAGACGAGCACTAACAATAAATCGCAATATCAGACAGTATTGAGGACATATCATGAGAAATAACGACCTTAACTTTATAAAGTTGGCTAAAAAAGTCTTGAAACCTTAAAATCAAGTCAAACTTCCATCAAAAATGACAAAAACCCACACAAAGAAGTTCACATTGTATCCATAAAATCCATAAAACCCAATACCAACCATCGCCACAAAACAATTTATAAACCAATAAGCAATTATGGCAAAATAAAATTCCATCGATTTTTCTTAATAATTCCGACGTGCATCACTTGAGCTAAATATTTTTTAATCGATAAAATTCTGCACTGGCCTTCAAAAAAACTGTTTTTTCTTTTTTATTCCACACAAATTCAGTGTCAATCGATTAACAATCCTTGAGTATAGAAAAGGATCTTGTTTGATGCCTCAAATGAGATTATGTTAAGTGATCAATTAAAAAAGGATTTAAAAGTGGAAAAGAAAATTGTTTAAGAATGTGAGAAAAAATTATGAGCATCGTGACTGATTTATAAATTGAAAAAGCAATAAATGAAGCAGTGGATTCAACTTAGAGTATGAATGTAGCTAATGGGATTCAAATGTGAGTCAAAAGAGCTCTATTAGCTTAAAGTGAGCATAAGAAAATGAAGAACAATTTTTAAAAATTGAAGATTCAAGACAAAATAAGGAGCCGTTCACTAATGATGTCCAGGGGGAGAGGGAGGCAAGGGTGTGGTACTGATGAAATGATCAAAAAATGATCAAAAATGATCAAAAATGATCAAAATTGATCACAAAAGATCAAAATTCCTCGAAATCCACTGTTCTTTTTTAAAAAATGACCGTAAATTTCAGACGTCATAAATGAATATCATTCAAACCAGGTTAATAAGATTAGAGTCCGCAAGTAATTTCTAAACATTTCAGGTGAGCTTAATCTTGAACTTAACAAGTTTAACTTCAAGCGATGATCTTTTACATCTTGAATAACTGAAGAAAAATTGAATAACTGAAGATTCTATTCAATTTAGCATTTTTTGATATAGAAGGGTGGGGATTCGTGGTCTGAACCTCTAAGGACCCCAGGCTACAATTACATCCATTTTCTAGCCATCCGGATTAAACCTTAAAAACACAATTTTTCTTAAAACTTTTCCCAAAAATTGCAAAATTAAATTTTAAAAACACGAAATTATTTTTCCCTCCAAATTTGCCTTCCATTCGAACAATCTCAATTGTGTTATTGTTTACAATAAATTTAAATCAACCCTCAGTTCCACAATTACAATTTTTCTCCTGGAAAACTTCTTTCCCCTCTCAAAATTCCTCACATCCTCTCCGACTCTCGCACAATGGAAAATGCTTTTCGAACACTGGAAATTTTCAACTTTTTTTCATTCTTGGAACTTTTTTTTTCATGAAAAAATTTTTTTCTTTTAAATTGCAAAATTTTCTTTCACAATTTTCAGAAACTTTGACTTAATTTTGCGATTTAAAATGTCTTACATTATTCACTTTAGTCACTCACTTAACGAATTACGATAAAATTAAATGAAAAAAATGACACAAAAAATGCGAAAATGTAAAAATAAAAAATTTCAAAAAAAGTTTTTTTTTATTCTTATCAATTTTTTTTTCTCTTTTTCCTTCAACCGTGACTGAATGCGGACTTTATGCTTTTCAATCCAACTTACACGAAAGCGCTCCCGAGAAAGACTGAGTGAAAAAGTGCGAGCGAGTTGGTATTTTATGAAAAGGAAAAATTGTGAAAATGCAGAGCTTTTCTCACTTTTCTATCGATTTTCCTCTCAATTTTCTCTCAGTTTTTCCCTTTCTCGACATGCTTTTGTGGACTTTGATTTTTTGATTGTATTGGTGAATTGAGGGGACAAGTTCAAACGCTTATTTTAATTAAATCAACTGATTTTTAATGGTTTTATTGTAAATTAATTTATAAAAACTTAAATTGTGAAGCAAAAAATTTTTTTATTGAGTTTTGCATTAGTTTGGAATCTAAATTGAACATTTTATTCATTAGTATTTAATAACTGATAACACTCATTCCACCCTGTAGCGCCATCTTTGTTAATCGAATTTAAATTAAATATTTTGAATCTTAAGAAAAAACGGAACCTGATTTTGATTAACAACTTATGAGATCAAGCATTACGGAACAAGACAAAACAAAAAACCCACGATGATTTATTAATTTTTAATATTTTTTGAATAACCTTCTCAATGCGTGCTAAAAAGTTGAGCAAACAGGTTCTTTTAACATATTTTTTTAAGAAAACAATTCGCTTAAAAGTTCATTTTTTCTGGCTGGTTGGCTGGTAGCTTTGAAAACTTTGCAACGGAAGCATATAGAGCAATGGTTCCTAAACTATGTGCCGCAATGGCATAACCACGAAAAAGGGGTCAAGCCCCCCCCCCCCCCCCCCCCCCTCTGCAGAAAAAAATCTTTAATTTGGTAGGGTGTCGTTCACTTATGAAGTCCATCAAAAATCCTGATTTTTAGACCCCCCCCCCCTTTGTCACAAAAATTCTATAAAAAAATTGCCATTGTTTGAACTGTCACAATATCCTAGACCCCCCTCGGAATGTCTGAACAGAATGTCGGACGTCATAAATGAACGGTCCCTTGGGCTTTTTAGGAGAAAAATTCTATTAAAACTACTAATTCCTTGCTTCGCCCCTGATACGACTTCGCCCTAGCTATGACTTGTATCTATGAATTAACTGATCTACGCTTAGTGAGCTGAAGTGGCTTGGTAGCCGAATGGTTTAGTACTTTGGTACCTAATTATTGCAGTATCACACAGCGATCATGGGTTCGAGACTGAGTATAGGAAATTTTTTACTTGTCCTTTTTCAAATCACATGTACTGGAAATGAGGCTCACAGCCTTTGTTTGTAGGCTCCAGGCAGAAATGTCATCAAAGTGGTGGTTCAGATCCAACTATAAAATTGTAGGTCTAGATTTGAGTGCAGTGATTTGGCGCATCCTCACTCGTTAAATTGGTTAAGGTAGTTTTTGATCAACGCGAAGTAAAGTCGCTTAATTAGTCTATTTACATCTGTAACAGCGACTTCTATATTAATTTTCGTTTCTATTTCTTCAGTCTTGGTTTACCCGCTTGAAACACAAGTCAAAAAATATTTAAACTGTCATTTTAGTTTAGAATTTGAAGATAAATTCGATTCCTTTTAAAGCAAAGAAGATTCATATTATTGAATTTAATCATTTGCAACAAGGATGAAGGCAGCGATCATGATTCTCTTCCTATTTATATTTGGAAGCAAAAGCAAGGCACAGAAAGCTCAATGTGAATTTAGCAGAAAAGATTTTGAAATAACTGGAATTACATCAAAAGATTCAAATTTCTACGTATGTGAATTGAGTGACAAGCAATCAATTAAAAGAGATCACCAAGAAGACCTAAGTGACAACAATGTCAGACTTTTGCACATCTTAAAAAACAGCAAATTAGAAACATTTTCACAACTTTTGTGCAGCAAATTTCCAAATCTTGAAGTAATTTGGACAGAAAATGCAGCCATAAAGTCAATTGATCAGTCATCATTTAAATATTGTGGACAGTTAGAATATTTGGAGATGAATGGAAATAAAATTCAAGAAATTCCACCCGGAACCTTTTCATTTCAAAATAAATTGCGGGAATTGTCGCTTGAAAACAACAAAATTAAAACTTTACATTCTGACAGCTTCGATCAACTTGAAAATGTCAGAACCTTAAGTTTAGCTTCGAATGATATTTCTGATCTTCCAGAAAATGTTTTCGTGCCTTTCAAAAGATTACTAAGTCTGAACCTTAACAACAACAAGTTGACAACAATTCATGCTGACTCATTTCGATCGCACGTCTATTTTGAGAGTGTTTATCTTTACAACAATCAAATTAATTCACTTGATCCGCAGATTGGTTCTAAAGTACCAGCAATTAATCTTGACATTCAGCTCAACAACTGCGCATCATCGTTATTTAATGGACGGGTTGATATCAAGCTTTTGAAGAAATGTTTTGACAATTATAAACCTCGGGAGTCAAGAATTGCTTAGTATAGCAATAATTATACCAAAAGTGCTGCTAAAATCAGATCATAATGAGCAGCCAAACAACAAATTGTCATCTAAAGCTTATTATTTCATATAAAACAACCGGAAGAATTAACAAAGGATAACATTTCAAATTTAAATTCAAGTCAGAGTCAACATTCTTAAACTTAATCTTGGTACATGATCGCAGAAGCTTTACCACGTGGGTGAAAACAGCTTTGTTGGAGTTTCAATCTTTGAAGTCTACAGCATGTCAAAAACCTCATATGATTGGCTTGAAGTGGTGCCAACGAATTGATTTGCAAGAATAATTGTAATTTGAAGTTAAAAATTAATATTAAAAGGTTAAATATTGGTGATGGTTGGGGACAGATACTAATGAAAACAGCTCCTGAAGCTGGATTCAAGGACTTCTCAGACTTCTTAAATCGAATTAACTCCAAGGAGCCGCAGAAACCAATTAAATTAATAGAATTGCATGCAAATAAAATATTTAAAACTCTCAAAAAAATATTTTCGTTTAAATTTTTCACTTAAAACTTTCATAACGTTCACAAAAAAATTCAAATCTATTTGCGCAAGATTTTAATTTATTCCACAATTTATCTCCACCACTGGCATTTGTTTACCAAAAAAGAATTTTCTCATTCATTGATTGAGTAGTGAAGAAAAAATTAAAATTAAATTTATTAAACAAACTTGGTGACCAAAAGATTTTATTAAGAGTTAAAATATCGGCAAAGCTGAGTGCGTTGAAGCTAAAATAATTGTGAAAAATATAAAATTTGTGAAATTTTCATAGAAAGTTCAAAAGTCGATAGACAAAAAAAAATCTTATGTATGTGAAATTTCCGGTTATTTAGTTAAATTGTGGGAATATTGAACACTTGAACCATCTAGAACTAGTATAACTCTTCATATTGACTAATTAAGTCAAGAAATCGTCACAAGAAGTCAGCAAATTAAATTAAGAACCATAAAAAATTAAGTCGTAAGTATTGTCAAGCCATACAAGATTATCGTCAATTTTATTGCTCCCCGTCATGTGTTGTTCTTCCTGAAATTTTTATCAATCAATCGTTTGACATTAAATAAATCTTAATACATTTTCAATGTCTGCGTGCGATAGCAGAAGTAGCAATAGAAAATAAAGAAAAAATATGTGATTTATAATAGTCAAAAAGATAATCTGGTTTTGATGTAAGTGGCAGAAGCGCATTTTGTTACATGATATTATTAGCTAGTCAAGAATTAATGAAAAATGACTCATCCACCCACCATTATGAAAGCTATAAAACCAGAAATCCAGACAGGGGCGTAGCCAGGGGGGGCCATAGGGGGCCCGGGCCCCCCCTACGAAAATCTGATAATTGTTTTATTAAGTATTTATAGAGAAGAACCAGTTAATGTAGAGGAAGTGATGAAAGAAATGTCAAAATCAGCACGAAAAATTAAATTTAATGTATGAATAATGAATTAAATATTTAAACTTATGAAGAATGAATATAGATTTAAGGATACAAAATAACGGTTTTTTAATTTTCGAAAATGCCCCCCCCCCTTTAAAAATTTTCTGGCTACGCCCCTGAATCCAGTTACATTCAAACAGCAAAATCAACTAAAAGCAGTAAAGTCAGACAGTCAAAAAGCCAGACGCACAGACAAAATGTGAACCAACTCTTTTTAAACCTTCAAAAAAGTAATGCTTTAAAAAAATTGTGTGTAAGTGCGGCGACTTTACAGCTGTTGCATAGAAATAACTGGTTGACAATGCTGTTGTTTTTGTAGTATTTTTGAGAAATGTGAGACACATGACTCACAAAGTGGATATTTTTATGAAGCAAAAAACTTTTTTCTTATAATACAGAAAAAAGTGGAAAATTTTCCAATCATACGACGAAAAAAAAAAAGTATCAGGAACAAACTTGAAATTGAAAATTAAACCAGAACTTTATTTAATTGCTTCAAGTCACGAGAGTTTAAGGCAGCGATCTTGATCTCTGTGTGTTATTTCTCCTGTTACGGTTGATTTGCGTCATGAACAAAAGTTATTCAATTCTTTTTTTTCTCTGTAATTTTATAATCTGTTGAGGGCTTTTTGTTGCTGTTGGATTTAGACTTTGGTATGGATTATTAAGCTACGTGAGGTACTTTTTGTAGACAAGAGGGGGATTTTATAAGGACAAGCGCAGTGCTGATAATTACTGTCTTGACTATTTCAGAGTAAATCAGCTGTAACCTAGTATTTTTGACTCGACCCTAGTCGACATCACAAGCTTCAAATAAATACCAAAAACTCAGTCACGATCTCAACTTTCCCAGAAAAATAAACCTGATTTACAGAAAAATTAAAAATAATTTCTTAATCTTCAAACCTGCACGTGCAGCTCAACAGACTTTAATTGTTTCAATTTTTTTTCCTCACTCAATTTTGTTTATTTATTTTACAAATTCGCATTTAAATTGAATAGTAAACAAGATGTGTAGTCAACTTTATTGTTGATTTAAAATGGAAGTTCAATGTATTTTTGGGGTAGGTCGAGGTATCGTCAAATAATTTAATTGAACTAATTTATGTTAAATTCAAAGAAATTTATTTGATTGTTTTGTTGTTAAGTGATTTTATTGAGAATTTATTGGAATTAATTGAAAAGTTATGTGTAAGCTTGATGAAGATTGACTAAATACGAGTAAGGGTCTTATACAGGCGTGTAGCCAGGAGGGTTAAGTGTTTTAGGCCGTGCTCTCGCTGTGGTTCAAAACGTTTAAGGGGGGACAAGACCCTCCAGGCTACGCGCCTGGTCTTATATTCTTCGTTTAGCTAATACTGCATCCGAGGTGCAGCCAGGAATTTAAAGAGATCGAGGTTAGAGACAGTCCTGTTTAATAAGTTTCATAAAAAAAATCTTCAAAGTTATTGCTCATTTTTTCACATCCATAAATTGTTTTGTAACCCTTCTCGCCCTTTTCCGCACTCTTGGCTAAGACCCAAAGCGAATTCAATTATTGCCAAGGCGTGGAAACTATCCCAAATATCCAATTTATCCCATATATCCCAAAAATATTCAAAATAATCCCTAAGCCTGTAAGCTTTAGAATTGATTCTCATCATATCCTGAAATTACACGTCCAATACACTAAGGATACGTTGGAATATCTTTATTATCGTGCACACATGCTCAGGAATTTTTTAAATATTTTTGGGATATGTGGGATAAAAATGATATTTGAGATAGTTTCCACGCCTTGATTATTGCCAAAACAACGGACACAATTGCAGTTTTTACTAATTTCCAGCTGAATTTACTTCTGAGTAAGAGCCTGATTTATGCCTGAGGATACTTTTCCGAGATAGTTTTAAAGTTGCTGTAAGATTTCTATGATTGATATTGCTTTGATGTCTTTTATTCATGCCTGTAAAACATAGAAGACAATAAACTGCTTTTAATGAGCAACAAAATCCAGTTTTCTTTTCCTGGAATCAAATATCGATGACCCTCATCTTTAAGTACACCCTGTGAGCCTAAGAATTTTCAAATTCTTAGATAATCAACCTCCAGTCAACAGATTACCAAAGTTGAAGGTCAAAACTTAATCTTCATCAGCTTATGTTAATTATTTCTGCAGAACTCATTTAAATAAATCAAAAATAAATCTCAACTTAATCACTCATCAACAAACCAAACACACACACACAAAAAAAACATTCAATTAATGACATAATTCTAAATGTTCATAGTCATGAAGTGTTTCATTGTCAAATTGCTAAGAATATAAGGAACACCTGTGCTTATTTGTCATCGCAATTATTATCATTGGTATTTCTAATTTTTCTTATCAGTCTGAAAACCGAAGAGGAATTAGTTTACACAGAAAATAATTGAAAAAGTTAAAGAGACAATTTTGATGAAAATTTGGAGGTTAGAAAGCAGATTTTAAAGCTGGGATTGGTTTGTTGGACAACTCTGAGGATCTAACACTAGTTTTAAGCTTATTCAATTCACAATTAATTAATATCCCAAAATGGAGGACAATAAATTATAGTTTCAACCTAATTTAGTCCAAAATCCTAAAAACAAACAAGAATTAAATGAAAAAAATCTAATCAGAAATAAAATAAACATAAAATAATTTATAGAATATAAAATCGATATAGTTTAAGATATGAGTACGAAGGTTGCATTCACAGCTGTTCAAACACTTATTTTCACTCATTTAAGTAGTTTAAAAATATGTTTCTCAGTTTCAAGTCTAAAGTTGATCGGATGTGACATGATAAAGCAGTTTGGTGACTTTAAAAGTTGTTTTTAATGAGCTGTGTGCCAAAAGAGATTATATTGAAGTTAGCATGGAAATTTGTGATAAGGAAGAAGCATGTGTAAGACAGTTAATGTCAAATATAGCTTTTTGACGCTTGGTTTCAATGAAAAGTCTGCTGGAATTCATGACAAATGCAAATGCAGGCATGATTCTATCAAACTATTGGCAGAATTTTGGCGGATTTTTGATAAACTTTTGTCAGAATTTTTAATGAATGCTTACAGATTTTGCCCTGACTTTTGACAGATTCTTACCGGATTTATGCAAGTTTTCTGGCCGATTTTTGATAGAAATTTAACCAATTTGTGACATAATTCGGCGAAATTTCAAAGTTTTTTGACAGATTTTTGGCTGACTTTCGACTAATTTGCGATTGACTTGTTACAAACTTATGATTGATTAGTTATTGACTTTAGATTGACTTTTGACTGACTTGTGACTGAATTTAATCAAAGCTTTGATTGACTTTCGACAGATTCTTAGCGGACTTTGTGATAAATGCTCAATCTACTAAAACTTTGTCATTTTTCTGTCAAAAATCCGCCAATATTCCAGTCATGTTCAATTTTGATCGAATTTCCCAAAATGCACCAAAAAGTCAACCCAATTTCCTGAACAACTCCACCAAAACTAAAGTAAATTACGCACACACATAATTACTGATATCGCAAAAAAAAAAATTAATGAATCAGATACAAAAACGAATAAAATTACTTGATAAGCATTAACATCGATAAGACGAACGACAAACGAAGTCCAAAAAAAAAAAATAATAAAATTAAAATCACACCATGACAGATAACAATTCTATCGTCGAGCTCAGGTGTTTCTTTCCATGTCTGGAAGGTGCAATACACAATCAAATTTTTTTTTTATTTTAATATTTTATAAGCCTTTAAACAATGCAGACGTTCGAAATTTATTCATTAATTAAACTTTATTCAAAAACTTTTAGAGATTATCTCCTTCATCCGCCACTGTCACCAGCAAGGAGGTCCAAAATAGGTAAAAATGGGAGCGGAAGTGAACCAAAAAGTGAAAAGAAAGAGAAGAAAGTGAAAAAAGTTGAAATGAGCGAGTCAAGAATCAAGAAATTTCGTAAATTATTTGCACTGAAAATTGCCGACGATGAGAAATTAATAAATTATTTTAGTTGTGCATTGGTTGCCGACATTCTACTGCAGGGTCATCTCTATGTGTCTGAGAATTATTTCTCATTTTATTCGAATGTTTTCGGATATGTTACGAAGGTGAGTAAAAACTTTTTTTATGTTTTAATCAAAAAAATTATTTTTGGCGACCCATTAGTCATGGACTGATTTGTTGATATAAAAAAAGTGAAGATAAGAATTCATTAGGAATTGTAAACGAGCATTGTGAATTGTAAGACACTTGTGATTTTTTTTTAATTAGATTATCTTGATTGTTTTATTGAATTGTCGTTATCAATAATAGAATTGCATGTGGATTGACTTAGTTTTATTATCAGTTTTATTTATCAATAGACAAAGGTCAGAATAGAATCCAGTTAGTTTCCATGTACAAAAGGATATTCATGAGACGTTGTTCGTCAAATACCGTACCAAATGATTAACCCGAATGGCACAAGTCGGTTAATCGATCAGAAATTTGGCACTAAGCTGGTGTGACTTTGGCATGGTGCTTAGGCATGGGAGCAGACCCTCTCCAACTAATGCTAAGCTTTACAAAATATACCAACAGCCTCTGAATGAGCCTAAACCTATTGACCATGATTCTAGTATGAAATTAAGACTCAGTGAACTCTGACTTCACACAAGACTGGTGCTACTGTTGAGTTTGTGCTTTTTCTAAATCATTTGCTATTAAAGATCAAGTTGCTACAGCAACCCTAGTACCCTACTCTACATTAAGTTACTAGACTGGTCATTCCTACGAATAAGGAACTCGGTAATTCTTAAAAACGAGTGCATATCATGTATTTCTTATGATTCTTCTTCTCAAATGAAACTCTTTATTTTGGCTACTCAAAAGCTTATTCTGAGCTATGTGAGCTGTAGTGGCTCGGAGACTAAGTACTTCGGTACCTAAATATTGCAATACCGACACAGCGATCATGGGTTCGAGACTGGGTTTGAGAAATTTTTTATTTGTCCTTTTTCGAAGCATATGTACTGGAAATGAGGCTCACAGCCTTCCTTTGTAGGCTACAGGCAGAAATGTCATCAAAATGGTGGTTCGGATCCCACTATAAAATTGTAGGTCTAGGTTTGAGTGCAGTGGTTTGGCGCATCCTCACTCGTTAAACTCTCATTTAACTGCAAAACGCAACTAGTGCATCTCTGGATCACAGTTGATTAGAATAGGTAAAGGTTTTTTTAAAATTGACGGTTTAATTAACGACTTTTTGTTGATTTTAATCTGTTTTTTTTTGTTTACCAACATCAAAATTAATATTCTGATTTTTTTTTTATTCAAATTATTTTTGATTTATTTTAATTGTTTTGTGGTTTTTTTAAATTTTAAACTTCAAAAATAGTAAAAATTCTCATGTGGATCAAACAAATACACAAAAATCTCTCAGATTTTTATCAAAATCATGACACAAATTTCGCGATAAGTTAATTTAACGTTACCTTGTTATGTGACATTGAAGACAAATCCAAACTAAATTAAGACTATAAAAATGCAATCATGTGATAAACCTTACAGGCCTTTTCGTGGTTTAATCATTTGTCTTTGTAGAAGAATTTCGGTATGTTTTGTGAAGGGGCGAAGCTAGAATCTTTTTTGAGGGGATGAGAGGTTCGCGTTGAACCGATTCTGAGACATAATCAATACAACATGAGTTCCTGATGCCCCCAATATTTATTTTGACAGCAACTTAATTTAAACAATCAAAATTAAAATATCCTAATTGACTTCTTATTTCTTCCTCACAGCTCGTTATCCCCATATCATCAGTTACACTCATTTCAAAAGAAAAGACTGCAAAAATGTTTCCAAATGCCATCGGCATTCAATTAAGCGATGCAAAGCACGTTTTTGGTTCATTTCTATCTCGTGAGACTGCCTATCAACTAATGTTAGGTATGACAAAAGTGGCACAAGTGCCAGCACTAGAAAGTAATGAAAGTATCAATGAGGCAGTCGAGGATGAAGCAGGAGTTGATGTTGAAGTCACGGAATCGTCAAAAGAAGACAGCAGTTCACTGTCGAGTGAAGGAACGACGCAATTTAAAATTATAGAGACGATTGAGATGGTTAAGGAGGAAGAAGAGGAAGTACTGGAACAGCCAGAACCACCATCACCACCTCCACCAACACCAAAAGTTCAAAAATATCAGCAAATTGAATACAAATCAAAGCCAAAAGTTGTCGAGTCACCTTCATCGTCGTCAAATCATTCACTAGTTCTGTTCATTGGAATTGCACTGACTTTACTGCTCGCATTTTTTACCGCATTTTTACTCATCCGAATTAATTCACTTGAGAATCGGCATTTAACCACAAGGGATTATAGTAAAATGACAATTGAAGAGGCTGAACAGATTCTAAACAGGAATTTGATGACTGTGAGGAATGTGAGGCAGAAACTTGAGGAGCTCAGTAGTCATTTGGAGTCTAAGTTTAAGGAACAGTCGAGGGATGAGCTGTAAGTTTGGGGGATATTTTAAAAATACGTGAGATTTAAATTTGTTTATTTTGAGAGAATATTTCATATAAAAAAGTTGAATTAGTTAAATTTTAAAGTTGAATTTTTATTCTTTTCAAAATTTTGAATTGTTATTTTTTAAAAATATTTAAATTTAAAATTAAAAAAGTCAAATTTAATTTGATTTCATTTTTAATTCAGCTAATTTAGAATAATTATAAAAATTCTCCCAAACCACTCATCACCTCTGTTTTTCTATAATTTAATACCAGGTTGTGTAGAATGTAGTTTTTAAAATTTTAATTTAATTTATGTATGTTAATTTATTTTAATAAAATATCTTCTTATGTTCCTACTTATAAGTTTAATATTCTTTTATTTTTTTGATCCTTAAAATAAAGTTTTTGATTAAATTTTAAATTTCTTATAAGCAAAAAACAAAATTTAATGGATCATAAATTAAAAAGTTCCTCTATTTGATATCATGGAAAGTAAAAAAGTTTATTTCAATGAATCAAATTTATCAAATTTTTTGTTTTAAAAATTTTATTTTAAATTTTTGTTAAATTATGTTTTTTTAAATTTTTGTTTTTTTTCAATTTAATTTAAAATTCTTGGAAAAATTATTTTTCACTCCAAAAAATCAAAAATTATTAAAATCTAAATTTAAAAAAATGCCAAATTAAATTTGAACAAGCTTAATTTTATTTTAATAAAAATGCACAGGCAGCTTAACATATTTTCTTAAAATTGAGGCAGCTATGTATTTTAAAATGTTAAAAATCGTTTTCAAACTCATTGAAACTTTCATAAAAATTTGCCAAAAATTTCACTTTTTAAAAAAAAATTATTTTTCGACGTCAAAATTGTTTAAATGTTAAAAAATTATTATAAAATTCAAAACATATTCATTAACATTAAAATTACTCATAAAATATGAAATGTGAAAAATTATTTTGGGTCCACCAGCAATTTTGGAAACCTAAAATTTTAGTTTAAATTTAATTAAAATCCAGGAAATGCTAAAAATAATAAAAAAATAATTGAAAGATAAAAAATGCTACAAAATTGTCTTTTACTAGCTGTGATGTCTGTTCAAATAGTTGATAATTCGCCAGTTCTATTTTTAAAAATTTCAGACCATAAATATTCAAAAAATGTGTAAACTCTGACAATTCTGCAGTTAAACTGATATGAGCTAAGCTTGAAAATAAGCAGTAAGATAATGAATTATTGCTCTGGAACGAGCCTCATCTAGAAAATGAGATAACTTCGCCAATTTTTAGCGTATTTTTGAAAACTTGTTTTCGAAAAGGAAGCTTAATAATGCACTTTGTTCGTTCGTTCGTTTGCTCGGCTGGGTAAGCATAAAAACTTTTTACCAGACATCGTAGAGAGCTCAGGTTTGTTTTATTAGCTTCGTTACTATTGTTTATTGTCCGATCGAACAGTTAAAAGTCTTGAAACAGTGTATTTATGCTATAATTAATGAATTTTTGTTTTGTTTTCAGTGTAACCTGCTCAAATTTTATTTTACCTCTATAAACTCAACTTTACCTCTATAAACTCAAATTTACCTCTATATTTTCAAATTTTTTCTAGCTGTTATAAAATTTGAATTTCAAAAAACCGTTAAATGATAAACTTTTTCTATATGGAAATTCATTGCAACAAATTATTAATTATTTTTATAATAAAAATCTAAAAAAATATTAAAATCCTGAAAAAATATTAAAATCTTGAAAAAATATTAAAATCTTGAAAAAACATTAAAATCCCTTAAAATGTTGAAAATAATTTAAAAATCATCAAATTTTAATTTTTTTATTTTTTTTATTTAAAAGATTTTATTTTTCATAATCTTTTTAACATAAATTTTCTTCATTTTCATGTCGTTTTTAAAACTATTTTCTAAAACCATTTTTTTAATAATTAATGAACAAATGTTGTACAAATGATAAGAGCCACAATGAAAAAAAAAATCTTTGAGAATTTAACGGAAAAGAAGAATAAATTTATTTTTTTAAAAATTGCTTGTAATGTTCCTGGATGGCCTACGGTATAGAAAAATCAAAAGTCATGTCACAAAGCCTGCATAAAGCTTAAAATAATAATGCGTGAATGGCCCAGCTTTTCAGCTGGAGGCACTGCGATTCAATTTGTAAAGAATCTATTGTACCATACCCTTTAGACCTTAAATATAAGTAAGCATAAAGCTTACTTTCAACCCCACACTGGCCTTGTGACAGTTTTTTCTTCACCATGAGCCTTCCAGAGTGATATTTTTTAGTGGGTCATCAAGGATAGACCACATTGTACTATAGACCGAACACTTTGAGAATCAAGATGTCCTCCTTATGACTCCCCACCCCAAAAAATACCAAAAATTAAAGCAATTTTCACATGACACAAAAAAAATATATAAAAAAATTAATCTTCATCACAAAAAGTAATTGAATCACTTCCCGTTCCTCAACTTTCACGAGTCCTCATCCGCATGCTTAAAGCCTTGAGCCTTCAAGTCCTCTCGATTCTTCTCCAATTCCTCAATTTCCTTCTCAATCTCAAATCGTCTCGTTATTTTCTCTAATTGATCCTTTTGTGGCTTAACAATCTCTCCACTCTTTATTTTCTCGTCCAGCAGTTCCAGTTCTCTAAGACGTCTTCGCAATCTTTTAAGTCGTTTCGATAGCTCAACGACATCGTCGCGGATTTTTAGTGAATTTTCCATTGTTTCGCTTAGATCGTCATCAACTTTAGGCGCCTCCTCAACTTTTGTCATGACACGAACTGCTGGTTGTGGCTTTATTGTGACTGTTGCTGGTTCTTTTTTGACTGGTGCTGTACTATTGCGTTGTTGTTGTGGCTTAGCTGCCGCTGTTGTACTTTTTGATGTGTCCGGATGCCAACCGGGTGGAAATGGATTTGCTTGTGCTACTCGCTTGCCTTTTGGCGTGTACAGTGGAACTTCCTCTACAAAAACAATCATTGTCAATTTTATTGGTATTAAAAAGATTTTTTATATAGTGAAATTTTACCTTGTGGAACGAAGCCAGGACGTACTCGACGTGCCTTACGCCATGAACCATCTGATCGTCTTGTTGCTGGAATTTCATATTGTTGAGTTGAGTTATCATTTTTCAGACTTTGCATGACTCTTTTGTGATTTTTTTGAAATTTTTTTTCCTATAAAAAATGTTTTTTTTTCTTTGCTAGAGTTCTTAACTTGGAATTGGTTGTTGTGGATTCGGCACTATTTGACTTTTTGGCGGGAAAATTTAAAAGATTGATTTTTAAATTTTTTTGTCAGTTACGTTGAATGAGCTTTTCGATTAGTTGTAGATCGATGATGAAGTTTGATCTAAATTTGACTATTTTGCTTTTATCGAATAGCAATTTGATGGCTTGAGTTGAACTAAGGATCTGAATATTTTTTGATAAGAACTTGTTTAAAGGCAGAATTGGTTTAATTAAACAAGTTTAATCATTTTATATCAATTACCAAAAATCTCAGTTGTTAGTTTTGTACAAAAAGTTTTTATTTAAATAGGAAAAAGAATAAATTTTAAGTACCTGAAATAGTTTTTTTAATATTATTTGTCAATAGGTCATTAAAATGAATTACCGAAGCTGTTGCATCGCCACAGGATCTAAAATTGGTCTATTTCAATGCTTTCAAGCATTAAGTTTATTATAAGGATACAGACTAACACTAGGGTTGGCTGATAGGTCTACCTTAGGCACCCTAGTACAGTAATTACTTTAAATTAAAAATTTGAACTTATTTTCCATAAGATTCCTTCATTGGTGATTTCACATAAAAAACGGCACACAATCTAGCGTGTGGTTTGTCAGCTGGCTTTAATAATGTCAAACAAATTTTAAAAAATCCTTCGGGATTCAAAAATTTATGTTTATGTTCATTATCGTCAATTGTTAAGTTCTTAACATCATAACTGCCAGAATATGGACATTTATGCATAAGATTTCCGATTTGTGTTGCAATTGCTCCTATAAAGTTCTTAAAAACCGGCTGTTTATCAAGATTATCAAGAATTGAGCAAATCTCAACAGTCGTGCGTCGTATGTCCCGATAAATGTTGCCATATCTAAACATCGTAACAATTTTAAGGAAAATTGGTCTGTTCATAGGTCGATGTAAAGTATATCCAACATTTAATCCGGAAAAGTTTCTTGAATAAGCTTTAACACTGCAGTTTCTCAAGAACATATAATTATTGGCATCAAAATTTTCACAAGTAACTGATTTAAATGTAGAACCGTACGGAAATTTCCTATCAAAATCATTTCTTGGTGGTCCTTGGAGTGCCACAAAAGATAGAAAATTTGTAAATAAATGAAATTTTATGACTTTTTTCAACAAAGTCATGATGAAATTTAAGTTAAGTGACAAAAACAGTTTTTTTGATGTTTGTTAAATAATCATGCTGGATAGCTAAGATTTTAATAGAGGGAAGTTAACTATTAAAGCTATTTTAAGTTAAATTGTTCTATTTTTAAAATTACAAAGGAAAGTCAAGGCTTGAGAACTGCTTTGATTAGAAAATTCAATTTGTAGTTGCGTACCTCTTGTAGTTGAGTTATACAACTTTAAGTGGTGCAAAACTGCAAAGGGTAAACAATTACAACGTTTAGACAACTACAAGAAATACACAACCTACTAAAGTTGAACGACTGCAAGAGGGAGACCATTGCAAGGGGTAGTAAACTACAGATAATTAATAAAGGGTACACAACTACTGCGGGTTTAATGAAGTTATAAAAGCTATTTTTGAGATGATTATAATAACCTCAATTTAGAAAACAAAAAAGGGTAGAAAATTACAAGTGGTAAAAGATTACAAGGGGTAGAAAACTACAACGGGTAGAGAATTGTAAGGGGAAGATTACAAGGGGTAGAAAACTACAAGAGGTAGAAAATTGCAAGGGGAAGATTACAGGGGGTAGGAGATTACAAGGGGTAGAAAACTACAAGGGGTAGAGAATTGCAAGGGGTAGAGAACAACGAGGGTGAGACAGTAATAAGGGGTAGAAAAATAAGGAAAGACGTGTTAAAAGAGATACAAATAAAATTGTTTATCAAACTAATAATTTTATTTTCAAACCAAAATTTTCTTCGATCTATTTTCCATAAGATTCCTTCATAGGTGATTTAACATAACAAAACTGTGCATAATCTAGCATGTGGCTTATCAGCAGGCTTCAAAAGTGTCACACAAACTTTAAAAAATCCTTCTGGATTCAAAAAATTATTTCTGTGCGAACTTTCGTCAATTGTTAAGTTCATGTAGTCATCACTACCGGAATATGGACATTTGTGGAAATGACTTTTAACAGACTTTTCAAAAATGTCTATGTAACTCAAGAAAACAGGATTCGCATCGAGATTAGCGAATATTGAACAAATTTCAATGATCTTATTAAGTACATCACGATAAATATTTCCATATCTATACATTAAGACAATTTTCATGAAAATTGGTTTTTTTATCGATTGACGAAAACTTAGTCCAAAGTTTAAAGTTGTAAAGTTTCTTGTATAAGCTTTAACACTACAGTTCCTCAAATGCATTAAATTATCAGCAAAATTGTCACACACAACTGATTTAAATGTAGAGCCATAAGGTGCATTCCTCTCAAATTCGTTCCTAGGTGGTCCTTGGAGTGCCACGTAAGATAAATAAATTAAAACCAAATAATATTTTATAACTCTTGTCAACAAAATCATGATGTTAAATGAGTTTAGTTTTCTAAAATCATTTTAGCTATTGCTTGTTAGAAATTATAATTTATTATGTTTATCAATTTAGACTTTAATAAAAGGATGTTTACTTTTAGATTTATTAATTTAAAATTGTTCTATTATTAAGTAAAATGTGAAATCAAGATAGGTTCAGCTTTTGAAGTAGATGCGGTTCAATGATAAACAAAGGAAAGGACAGCTATAGAAGTTATCTCATAGATATCCATCACAAGCAGGCAATTGATGATCAGTACACCATTCTCTATATATACACATCACCATGATCATACATAGAGACAGTTATGACAAGAGTTGTAAGTATAAATTGTTTAATTTATTAAACAAGGCTTAGCCGTTACAACAGTTAGGGAGAGAATTAGAAGTGGTAAAAAACCACAAGGGATACGAAACTACAAGAGATTCAAAATCACAATGGATACAAAAACTAAAAGGGACACAAAACTGCAAGGGGTACAAAACTTAAAGGGGCACAAAACTGCGAGGGGTAAAAAACTACAATAGGAAAAAATTACAAGGGGTAGAAAAATATAAGGGATACGAAACTACAAGAGATTCAAAATCACAAGGGATACAAAAACTGCAAGGGGTACAAAACCACAAGGGGTTAAAATACAAGGGGTACAAAACTACAAATGGTACGATACTAAGAATGGTTTTTTTTATTTACTTGCAAGACAATGTATATATAAAGTTAATTATTTCTATTTTCCAAAAGATTCCTTCATCGGTGACTTTGTATAGAAAACAGCACAAAATCTTGCTATTTGCTTCTGAACAGACTTTTGGAATGTGATGCAGATTTTGTAATAACCTTCAGGAAGCATAAAGATGCTTTTATTTTCAGTCTCGTCTAGAGTCAGGTTGGTGATGTCATCTCCAATTGTATATGGACATTTGTGAAGATGATTGCCAATTGATTTCTTAACTGGTGCAATTAGGTTTTGTAGTAGTGGCTGTGAATCAATGCTTTCAAATAATGAACAAATTTCAACAGTTAAGTTATAAATATCTCGATAAATATTTCCATATCTGTACTTCATGATTATTCTAGCATAAATTGGTTTATTGAGCGGTCGAGTTAATGTGTAACCTAAATTAAGAGCTACAAACTTTTTTGAATAAGCCTTAACGCTACAGTTTCTCATGTATCCATAAGTATTGTTTTCAAATGTTTCACATTTAACTGATTTGAAGACCGAACCGTATGGGAAGTTTTTATCAAAATCATTTCTCGGTGGACCTTGAAGTGCCATGAATGACAGGCAGATCAATATCAAATAAATCGGAGTTATTTTATTCAACAACATTGTGCTTTACGCTTTTTTTGGGTAATTTTGATGCATTTCAGTTTGTTAATTGGGAATCGAGTGAGTTCTGAAATCATTAAAAATAATTGAAGCAAATTAAAACTAGTAAAGAGGTGATCACACGTGATCGACCGAAGCGCATTTTGCCCGCACAGAATTCGAGTATAAATTAAAATCTAAAAACTCAATACATCTGAAAAATAACGGTCAAAAAAAATTTGAAAAAAACGGTCAAAAATTATTTGAATAGTAAGGTCTTAAAAATATTTCAAAAGTAACGGAAACGATTAAAACAAAAGTCAAATCAACTTCTAAATAGGATTCCAACCCTTGTAATCATAAAATGTAGTCGGTTCCATATTCAGGAACAGCCACTTAACCTACATGCTAAATTTCAACTCAAAAGAAAAAGTTGCTCGTTGTGAGGCTTGAACCAGCGACCTGAGGATTGTAAAAAAAGTCACCTTTTTAAGGGCTGCGTAAAAGACGGACGGACAAAGTGCGGACAATAGCGTCATTTCTTGAAAAGAAAATGCGCTAAAAATAAATTGAGGATGTTTCAAGCTACCGATTACGAAAAAAAAAAGTTTTTAATTGGCAAAAACTATTAAATTCAATCGAATTTAAATCAAAACACATAAAAATATGATTTTTAAAATTTATAAATATATGCAAGAGTCAAATTCAAGTCCAATCATTAGTTCGTAGGTAGTTCCTTAATTTAATAAGCAATAAGTTCCCAAATCTTTTGTAGCAAGTCACCAAAAACTAAAAAGAAGACAAATAAAAATCATTTTTTCCCAAAAGAATCCTTCAATGGCGATTTTGTATAAAAAACTGGACATAATCTTGCAATTGGCTGGTCTGCTGGCTTCAAAAATGTCACGCACACTTTAAAGAATCCTTCAGGATACAAAATGTTGTTTCTAGTCTCCGTTTCGTCAATTGTAATGTTGATGAATTCTCCAGAGCCTGAATATGGACATTTATGCAAAAGATCTCCAAAAGTTTTTTTAATAGCTGATATGTATACTTTAAATACAGGCTGTGACTCAATATTATCAAGGATCGAACAAACTTCAATTGTTGTTTTGTAAACTTCACGATAAATATTTCCAAACTTATAAAGCATCAAAATTCGGACGTAAAATGGTCTGTCAACTTTCTTGTTGAACGTATATCCAAAATTTAATGTTGAATGATTCCTCGAGTAAGGCTTGACTGTGCAATTCTTGACATATCCATAGCCAGTGACATTAAAATTCTCACAAGTCACTGATTTAAACATTGAAACGTATGGAAATTTGCGGTCTAGTTCATTCCTCGGCGGTGCTTGAGGTGACATGAATTTGACAAAAATTACAATAAATAATGAAATTTGGATGACTTTAAACGACAAAATCATTATTCTGAGTGGAGGATTTACAGAAAACTTGATTGCAAAATAAATTTATAAATTCAATTAAAAGTTTATTTTAAATTTTTCCAATTAAACAATTTTGTAAGTTTTCAATAAATAAAAAAAAGATAAGATTCGAATAATTATTCAGTCACATTTGAGTTATATTTCCTATTTCAGCTACTATCTGACATTATAATCTTTGCAATAAAAAATTGTCACCCTTAATGCTGTTGTCCCCTGCGCCACTGATTTCAAAGAAGCAAAATTGCTTTGATAACTCAGTTGACAAGGTTCAGGTCACAAAAGTTGGTGTTGAATTTGGACTCTCGGGTTCAAATCCCACCACCAGTCTAGTAATTTTTTTAGAAGTTTAGACACTTCGGCTTCTTAGGTGCAGCAGATTAAGACGTAAAACTAAGAATTAGGCGATGTGAGATGTAGGAACGGGTCAAAAATTATGTAGACAGAATTACAGACAGAAATTCACTATTTAGGGCTTTTACTGGAACGGACGAAGAGACAATGTGACCTGCTGAAAATTGGAACGAAAGTGGACATGAACACTAGTTCTGGCTGCTGGACACACAACTGCTTAGTGAAGATTATACACTTAATATTTAGCTAGCGTTTATAATAAAGATTTAAGAATAAAATTGTAGCGCTTAAGGGGGCCGTTAATTTTTGACGTCCAGGGGGGGGGGGGGAGGGTCAGCAAGAAAAGAACAATAGAAATTCCTGGAAATCCATTGTTTTTTTTGAAAAATTACCGTTAATTTCGGACGTCATAAGTGAACGATCCCAAAGGTTTAGTAACACTGTTGCATAATTTAAGATTAATAAATTTAATTGAATTAATTTCAGTTTATTTTTGTTTTTTTTTTCCATAAACATCCGGAAATAATTTTTAGATTTTTTATATTTGAAAAATGCCAGTTAAAGTCTCACACTTGTCACATTCTCGAAAAACGTGCTTCCCGTAATTTCCAATTCCACCTCAACTTGAAGTTATCGAGGGGCTGTGAACTTCTCACAACAATCTCATTTGTTTTTAGTTTGTGGAAGAAATTTTTTGAGATTTTTTTTTTGCATAAAAGAATTGAATAAACTTATTTATAAGGATTTAAATTGAATAACATTTACATTTATGTTGTGCAACTCAAGGCGAAGCAGTTGATTGTGAAAGAACTAAAAATATAAAGCTGCAAAATAATAATTTGAGAAAGAATTTCAAAAAAGTGGTGACTTTAATAATTAAAAATATTAAAAAATTAATTTTGGAAAACAAAAATTAATCAAATTACAAAAGGATCTGATTGATGATAATTATCTACACAAACAATACTTGATCCAGTAAATCCTAACAAGCAGACAGCCAAAAATTATTGATTTGAATCATATTTTGTCAACAAAGGTTTGTATTTTTATTCAAATTTTGCAAATGGGCAATTCTCCAGATGAGTTGAGTTTTTGAAAAAAGAGCTTTTATAATCCAAAGTCATTTACTGTTTACTTTCAATTTTTTTTTTGTAAATATCTTGTCAATTTCTTTGTTTTGATTGCTTAAAGCAACTTTAAACTGTTTATTACGATTGATTCTAACTGAATCAACAATAATTCAACCATGAAGTGTTAAATTAAGACTAAAATTTAATTTTTATGAAATATTTGCTTTGCATTTTTTTCATGGATTTGCAAAATAAAAGCTTAATTTTTTTACTGTCAGCAAAAAAATCCACCGAAGAATCAAAAATTCTCTTTAAATAGTAATTATTGGAGTGTGATATGATTATGGTTAGATAGATTAGCTCAAAAACTACATTTCTGCATAATCATAATAAAAAATGAGTGTTTACTTTTCTTCAATTTTCGATTCTCCGGATGATTATTCCATTTTTTGCTGACAGTAATTTTGACAAAAAATTGAAATAACTTAATTAATGGTTACTTTCAAAGACTAAAATAGATGAAATATAATAGTTTTTGCCATGTTACATCGATTTAAATGTAAAACTAATGCTTGGTAATGGAAAATTTTCGAGAAAAATCAATTCTCCGGATGATTTTTTGAAAAACTTATCTGGAGAATTGCCCAAATAGTTGACTTTAAGCTCTATTTTTGGGTTTGTAAGTAATCAAACTCATATTTTGAATCTTTTAACTAACATAACTTCAATATTCATCTCCAGATAAACCAAACATCAAACATGTCCAATGTAATCATCCAGAATATTAATCTTTACGATCTTGAGCTTCAAGGAAACTCCTCAAGTGATGAAGAAGAGGAAAATATTGCAAAAAATCAACAGAAACAGCCTTCAATCACTTCATATTTAATTAAAAAATCACCTAGACAACAAAGTACAGAAAACGGAGCTGAAAAGCTGATTGAATGCGAGATTAGTGCTGATTTAGATAAATCATCTAGCTTGGAAGTGAACAAAGCTGTAAAGAGTCCAGTGAATAGTCAAAGCAGTAGAAAATCAAATGGATTACCACAAAAAACAGGAGAAACTGCCAAAAGTTCAACAACTTCAAGTCCAACTAGTCAAAAAACATCAAATTTATCAAATTTGTATCAATTAATCCAAAACAATTCAAATCAAGCTAGTAGCTCAACAGATTCAAACACCAGCAACACCCAACAACCAAAAATTACTCAAAAATCAGCATCAGATCATCAAACAACCTTAAATCTACCAACAGAAGTTGTCATAAAAGAGGAACTCATTGAAATCGATGACGATCCAGTCATCCAACAAACATGGCAAGATTTAGATCAGCATTCATTTATTAAGCAAGAAAATGAGCTAATGGTTCCACCAGACAGCTTAGATGGCGAGAATATCATGGAAGATGAGATTGAGGAACAAGATTTGAGGAAAATCATGTCACAAAGTCAAGATCCTGAGAATGCAAATGCCAGTTTTGATGATTCTTTGTTAAAGACTTGTGAAAGTTTAGAAGATGAAGTTGAACTAATTAAACCTAATGGAGACTCAGGAACGCTTGATGAGAAATTTGGATTCTTCTACAAAGGAAGCGGAAGTTCGCATAAAAATGTAGAGCAACTTGATGAGGACATGATGACAAGTCAGGACATTCCGGTAGATTTCGATGATAGTTTGATGGAACTTGAAGGAAATCCAGCTAAAAGGATGAGGATTGATGACAGAAGCATTCAAAAGACTCCGGAAGGTTCTCTTAGTTCCAACAAAATCTACACACACACAATTGTCAAGTCATTGCCAAAAGGAATCACAGTTAAAAGAACAAGTGGAAGACAAGTTGCATGCAAGTCAACCAGTTCGAATGCTGGTCCATCTCCAGATAAGCAAAGTACCTCACTTGATTTTAGCAATACTGAAAATCCAGGCACAAATGGTAAAGTTATTGCAAAAATAGGCGAAAATATAGCAAAAATCGGAGAAACATTTGTGAAATTTGGCTCAAGTGTGAAGAATTCTGAGCAGCTGCTGCCAACCAAGCTAGCCGTGTCAAATGAGCAAGATGAATTCATTGTTACCGCAATTAAGGAAGAACCAGACGAAGATATTGATATGGAGCAAGACTATACTGAAGAATTTATAGAAGAACCATCCGAACCAGAGCCTGAAAGATTAGCAACGAATTCAGAACTAACAAAAACCTTCAACAAAAATATCGGAATTGTCCATAAAGTTGGTGAAATAGCGAATCGAATTGTGGACAGGATCAACGCTAAACGAGGCGAAACATCCCAATATGTAAAAACATCTTCTCCAAAAATTGGCGTAAGTCCCAAAAAATTCGGCCTCGACCCTTCAAAAGTTGGTGGAAATTTCATAAAAGTTGGTCAAACTACAAAAGGAAGTCCAATAACCTCAAAAGTAATAATAACCACAAAAGTGATTCAAAATCCCGTACAAAGTTCATCAACAACACCTCAAAGATTATCAATGCCATCGACCAGCTACTTTATGCCTAAAAACTTTCTAGACCTTCAAATTAAGGAAGAGAAGCTTGACGATGAAGCAAAAATCTCAACTGATCCGAATGACTTCCTAGAATCGAAAATCAAGGAAGAAGATCCCGATGAATATTTTACAACAGCCTACAACCAAAACATAACCTCAAAACCTTTAAATTCGACAGTCACAAGCACATCGGACACAATTGTGTCTACAAAAATTGTCACTTTGCCAGCTTCAAACTTACTAAAAACAAGAAAAATTATTGTAATCAAAAAACCAGTCACACCTGGAACCAAACCAGTTTCTGGACATTCCATACAAAGAGCCTTAAAGTCTCAAATGAGATCGGGTGGTGTTAGTGGATCTGAAAATACAAGATATATCATTAAGACAGTGTCGATGCCAAACAAGACGATAAAAATTGAAAATAGTCAAAAATCATCGCTCCAAATTGCAAGCATATCAGGTGCACAGAATCAAGGTCCATCTACAAGCTTCAGAACAATCACATACCCAAAGTCTGAATCTACAGTAGTTGTAAAGAATCAAACAGATGCGATTTATAGATGCTATAAGTGTCATTTGCTGTTCTCATCACACAGTGAGTATACTGAGCATCTTAAAGAGCATAGAATCCCACAAGGAATCGTATTCAATGAGAAGCGAGTGATCAAACTTGAGGAACTGCAAAAAATGAATGCTTTCCAATGTGCTCAATGCTCAGCTGGATTTCCAACAATGGAGAAGCTTTCAGCACACGAGAATCGCCACAAAACTGAATTTAGCTGTAAATATTGTGGAAAGACATTCTTACAGATGTACAGGTACAAGGAGCACTTAGCACAGCATGAGCAAAAGAAGGAGAAATACTTAGAATGTGAACATTGTGACAAGAAGTTCCTCAAACAATTCAGACTTGATGAACATGTGATGAATGCTCATGCAATTATGGAACTACACATATGTGCCTATTGTGACTTAAAATTTCCATCAAGTTCGTTGCTTCTTGATCATCAGAAAACAGCTCACACAAAGAAGACAGCAATGAAGTGTGGACTTTGCAACTATGAAACTTATGTTAAACAAAACTTTGAGAAGCACGCGAGCATGCACATGAGATATGTTGAGAAACTTAATTCCAATCAATTCTTTAAATGCGATCAGTGTCCACAGTCATTCAGGGAGAAAGGTGTGCTGGAGATGCATAAGCAGCATATGCACAGTTGATGAGGTATTTTGAGGTTAGGATTTTTCTATTTCTTACTGTAAAATTTAAATAATGGAAAATAAAATAAATTTAAAATCAATCAAAAAGTTTTTTATTGTTTAAAAAACCTCATTAAATCATTAATCAACCTCAGTGTTAAAAAGTAAAAAATCTCAACAATTGACAGCACAGAAATGCCAGCAAATAAACCCCAGATTCCACTTAGGTATGAGAAAAAGTCAACAAGTCGAAGCTGTTGTGACCGAATAATTGCGTAATATTCGCTGTCTTTCCATTGAATTGACACGTGAACATTTTCTTCATCAATTCCTTTCTTGAATCTACTTTGGTAAATTGTGTAGGAATATTTGACATAGTTGCATAATGGAAGGCAGTTGCAGACGTCATGTGATGTCAAAAGATGATCATATGCTGTCAAATTCATCAGTTGCTTCATGTTGTTGACGCAATAAATTTGTCTGTAGTAGTCACAAACTAGCATTGTAGAATTCCGGATAAAATTGTAAGGAACGCAGCCACATTTGTCATAAACTAGAAGAAATTAATCAAAATCCAGAAAAGTTCTCCATCTCGAAAAGTTTTTCTTGATTATTTTTTAATTTTGACATTATTATTTAAAGATTTATAGCTATTAGTGCTCAAAAAAGTGGCAAGAGTTGTTCTAAATCAAAATATATCAATAACAATACATTTAACCTCAAAATTGTCAATTTTTTAAAAACAAAATGGCGAATTTTTCTAAACTCACCAACGAATGAAACACATTCAAGTTCACAATTAGTTTGAGTGTAAATTTTAAAATATTTCAACTTCCTTTCGTCATCAAAATAACAGCTTCTGACTTCAAGATCAATTCCTCTCAGATTTTCATCAAATTTGACAATCTCTGGTGTCACTAGAATGTCGTATGATGAAGCTCTGGTTGATGAAACTTGCTGATGTCTGATTGGTAGTTCATTTGGTGGATGAATGATGATTGTTTCACGTTCGAAACATCGCTGGTCGCTGGAATTAAAAATCGTGTTTACTTCTTACTGGTATGAGAATTAATCCAAAAGATGCCTTTTCAGTTTATGCTATTGATCTGGAAGACACATCTGACTAGAATTTAGTATAAAATCAAACCTACTTTTGTCAATTAATCCATAAAAAACTTAGTCGACCTTAGTCGCCTTCTGTTTTCCCCACTGGTACAAGTCAGTTAAACGAACAGAAATTCGATATCAAGCTGACATGGTGCTGGCTTCAAATTAAATCCAGCTACTGTCAGAGTAACACCGGCTTGGTGCCGGATTGCTGATCGATTACCAGATGTGTGCCATTCAGGTTTGATCTTAAGTTGCATACTTATACTTACACAGTCCGATTTATGAACTTATATTTGACATCAACTTCAAAATTAAATCCTTTTTTGTTGCCGATTGATGTTTTCCATGGAAAATTGAAGGTCTTGTTCGAGTTGTATGTGTAGTTAAAATCCTCAGAGATCCTGGAAATTAAAAAATTTTAATTATTTTAAAATTGTATCTTATTAAACCAGTGATGGCCAACCCATGTGCCCAGAAAATCTTGCTGTGTTCGGTTTAAATTATTGTTTAACTTCAACATGTGCCGTAGCTCAAAAAAGGTTTTCCACCACTTAATTAAACTTACAAATCCTCATTCAACAGCTCAGAATGCTCAATCAAATTAAAAGTGTATCCAAAAAGTGTCGAAGTAAGAACTTCTGCAAAAGGTGGATCAACATTTCCATTCCATGTTGCATTTCTTATCTGAAACCATTTGGGTTGTTTAGCTGTATAATATTTGATAACATTGACAATATCTGTTGGATCATCAAATGGTGCTGGATATACAATTCTGTAATCCATCTTTCTCATATACCTAGAACATATAATATTCTGAAACTCATAATGCAGAGTGTAGATGTAGTCTTGGTCAATTAATCTTATTCCTGTAATGTTGTCCTTCCAATTCCGAAATAAAAGTTCAAGATCTCGAACGATTGTGAATGCTGGAAATGGAATCTAAGACTGGATTTGTTGGATATTCATAAAAAGTGAAATTGTTGCTTACATCTTCAAGATTCGTAGGTGATCCTTCCATTCTCATAATTATTTTGGCTTCTTTATAGGTTTTATAGACATTTTGAGCAACTAAGTAGGACGAAGTCATCGAAATGATGAACAAGATAAGCCAAATGACTCTGAAAATTAGATTGTTAAGTTTTAAACAGCGTAAAAAAGTCGCTGAAGGAAGGCGAGAGACTGGCATGGAGTCAGTTATAGAAATCTGCTCTTTGTCAGTCTAATTTTATTAAAATGCTGAATTTACCTCTCAAAAGGTCTTTTTCCATCCCTCCCAATTTGACTGAAGCTGTGAATTGAGGATCCTTCAAGCATCTTCATGATGAATCTCATCAGGTTGCTCTTCTTTAGCATCTTGGGCTTCCTTTTAATGACAACAGGTCTAACCTTCCCCTTTTCTCTAGCTTCAATGCACGGATAAATCAGAAAATAATAAAATATTTCAACTCCAGAAAGCACTGAGAAGCCAGCAAAAAGATTCAAAATTCCACCAATAAATGAGAAGAATTCGAGAGTTGTGTGACTTTTCTTTCTGATGAGTCCAAAGAATGTGTCTGATGAAAATTCAATTTTTGCTGCCATACAGTCGTTGTTTCTGGTGCTGAAATAAATATTTATTGACTCATTAAACGAAGCGCAATAAGGTTTGAATGTTGTGCAGAGGCATAGCAAGGATTCCTTGGAGGCTACACCTCTGACAATGAATGACTACTCAAAACTTACTCCATCTCAAAATACTGCTCAACATTCTTCAACTCCACATCATACTTTATATAATTGCAAGGTTCAAGACATCTGCAATCGTATTTGGTCACTTCAAAGTCATCTTCAACATTTCTAAAGCATTTCTCATCAGCAACTCCACAAATTCTTGTTGTATTGGTTCTGATCATGTAGAATTGTGCACAATTGCATGTATCAATAGTCATTTGAGCTAAGCATTCATGTTCGCAGTTGACTTTTGTGTAGACTTTAAAGAACTTTAGGATTTTCTCATTTTCCAGGTAGCAATTGCGTCTGAAATGACATTTTTTGTGGGGAATTTGAGGTTTTTGGAATCATGGCTTACTGACAACCTTAAGATGCACTTCTCAACAATAATGAAGAACATGTGTCAGGAGTGTAGCCAGGAGGGTCTTGTCCCACCGTAAACGTTTTGAACCACAGCGAAAGCACGACCTAAAACGCTTAAGAGGGGGACAATACCCTCCTGGCTACGCGTCTGACATGAGTATTGCAGAACGTACAATGCAATAGAACAGTGGTTTAAACACTAAAGAGCGACAAAATAGTTCAAATTGACAAGTTAGTGAAGTGTTTACTGGAAAGCACTAGTCGGTTAATCCGACACTAAGTTGGTGTAACTATGATTAATGCTGGATGTATGATTGATTAATCGACTTGTGCTTTCGAGGTTTATTTCTTAAAACAACTATTTTTCTTCACGAGTAGCTACTATGGCACTATTATTGCCACCAAATAAACTTAGCATTGACTGCATCGCAATGCCTCGTCAATTCAAACCTTTTTGTCGCCCAGAACTTACACATCAATCTCAACATCCAGCAATGAGTCATCAATCCTTATTATCTTCGGTACAATCGACAAAGTAGTCAATTTATCTCGAACCATATGAAACTTTGGGGCATCATTTGACAGAAATTCGTATGGATCATGAAACCTCAGCACAAGTCCATCCAACTCCGTCTGTTGAAGTGAATTCTTAAAGAAATTGTAAGCTTTCCTTTGAGGCTGACAATAATGAAAAGTCCAGAATTTTATGAATAATCCTTTTCCAGGACCTTGAGCTATAACTGGGATCTGATGTGGAAATGGATATTTCCAAGATTTTTCCGAAAATAAGGTTTGACTTGTGTTGTGAGAAATTGTGGAAATGTTCCTGAAAAAATAGTTAATTTTGGTTATTTTTATAGCTTCTTGAGCTATCTTAAGGATACTTTGGACCCTACTAGAATGGCACAAGTTGGTTAATCGATCAGAAATCCGGCACGAAGCCGACGTGACTCTGGCATGATGCTGGATTTGTATCGAAACAGAGTCATACCAGCTTTGCACGGGATAAAAGTTCGATTAATAAAATTCTGCCATTTGGGCTAGTTCTAGCTATTGAGATCATTTCAACCTACGTTGACTCCTTAAAAACCTTCCTAAATCCTGGAATATTGAATGTATAGCAAGGTCCAGTGTTTGAGAACTCTTCAGTCGCTCTTATTTTGTACTGATCATACAGAACTCCATAAAAACTATACAAATGTGTGCCACTGTTGAAGAAAAACCTTTTCAAAATTCCCAACAATTCCATCAAATTATCAGTTGATATATTTAATGTTGGAAAATTATCGGACATGAACCGATCGCGTGACAGCAGGCTGCCAATTTGTAGGAGTTTTAATTGTGTTTCTTTTAATGGCTTAATTGCTGTTTTATTCCTTTCTAATAACGATTTGGCGCCATCATAAAACATCTGTGTTTTGCAAGGTGTTCTTCCCAACACTCCAAGGCACATAGCAACAGCTGGAAAGACCAAATCTTGAACTTTGATTGGATTTTGGTCCATATAAATAACAATTGAGTTCTTTTGACTCTCAATGATAAGTTTGTTGATTAAAATTCCAGTTAAAATGAAGGATATGAGAATCGAAATAAGCCAAAAGAATTTCTCAATTTTGTGCCGCCATGGCTGAACGATGTAAATGAATCCATGAAGATTTGTGTGACCGCAAAAAGTTTCCAGTATTTTCAGCATCATTTCAACTTTTTTGAGTGCGTTTTGAGACTGAAATGAAATGTTTATTGTCGTGACTGAATAGAATCAGCGATAAAATTTATTGCGTGCTTAAAAGTTTAATTTATTTAAGTTTTCTAGAATATTCCTGAAAATAATAATTTAAAAACAGACACAAAAACAATCCAGCTTGGAAACAACTGTTGTAAACCCCAATCATTGGAAAATTGCATGGATTTTGAAAAAACAATTGTAAGGAATGAGCCAAAACAGCAACAAATTGAGTCATTTGAAGAATTGTCAAATATTTTTTCCACCAAAGATATTTTCGCATTTTTGGTCCCATTGCAGCCAGCATGTAGTAGAGGTACATAAAAATGTGCACAAATGAATTAAAGAATCCAAAAATTGTTTGATGACCTCCGGGCAGGAATTTGACGCACCACCAAACTGAAAGTGAAACTATTAATTCAAAAAAACTATATAAAGTTTAAAACTTACGAGTAAAAGGTACGGTCCCATGGTGAGCAATGTGCAACATTGAAATTAAGTCAAATCTCTTTCTTAGAATGAAGAAAAATGTGTCGAAAAATTCAAAAAATTTACTTAGATAAAATAAGTAGAAAGCTCGTGCCATCTACAAAAAATTAATCAATTTTTCCAATCTAGAAGTTTTCAGCATTCACAAAGCAAAACTCACCCGTACAGCATATTCATCATTTGATGGATCAAAAGCTTCACATCTCCAATTATATCGTCCAAACCATCCAGCCATTCCAATCTCCCAAAATAAATAACAACTCCAAATTGTTTGAAGAAAATTGTAAATTATCAATAATTTTGTGACTTTAAATGGCTTTCTGGCTTCCATAAACTTTGGTCCTAAGATCTGTAATATGGAAGAATATTGTTAAGCTGAGGAAACACGTGGTGAAGGTTTTTTATTGCCCGGAACCTTATTTAAAAGTTTCAATTGCTTAAATGAAATTTGACGCTGAAGGCTAAGGTCTTGGTTGATTTTTAATTGATTGCTAAGCTTCTGTGTATTTAACACTTCAAGGATACGTGGGTATTTCTAGAAATCAGGGTTCAACCCCTCCCCTGCCACCCTCCTCTTCGCACAATGGAAAATTTCTTCATTTTTCTACGGTTTTTAAGAAAAAAATCCAGAAATTACGTTTAAAAAATTTCCTGACAATACAGAAAAATGTCAAACCTGGTCAAACCATCCCCTCCTTAAAAATTTCTAGCTATGTCCCTGTACATAAATCAAGGACATAGCAAGGAAGGATAGGGTGTCCTTAGGTGCCCGGGCACTCCCCCTTGAGATTAAAATTTCATGTAAATTTTTTTAAACTTTTGGGCACCGCTTTTGCAAAATCCTAGCTACGCCCTTGTACGTGAATAGACCTAGAAAATAGCCATTAAGGATGTTTACTTGTTATACACTAAAACACCAATCACAGGCGTTGCCAGGAATTTGAAGAAGGGACGGAGATATTTTTTCATAAAAGACCTTAGCAAAATGAAGACTTTTGTGTTAACGTAAGGGGATCACTCAAATCTCCCTCCCCCCTCCCCATTCCCTTGGCTATGCACCTGAAGAATTTAACACTATCATACAAACACCTAAGCTAAGCTTTTTTGACGATTCCATTCCTTTGCCAATACTAAACCTTTGTCTTTGAGCAACCAAAAATAGGACCCTCTCCCCCCCCCCCCCCCCCCCCCCCCTCCCCCACTTTACTTTTTGACAAGTGTTGGGGAATAAGAAGCTTGGATTAAGCAATTCAATCAGAATTCAACGTAAAACCCTCATAAAGCCGGTTATTAAATGAACGACGGTATTCAATTTTGCAACAGCTGCAAGCTACTACATCCTTAATAGATCCAAATGCAAACAAAAACTTACCTTCACAATATAAAAATATCCAATGCATAACATTAGTGTTGGCAGTGGACATTGCATAAGAAACAAGTTCGTTGTCCTCGGATCAGACTTGTTGTTCATTAAATCCTGCCATTGTGCATATAAATGTGACTGTAAAATTTAAAGATTATTCAATATAACAATTGTTGTGTCTATTCAGTCAATGGAATCAATTTACCATTTCTTTTGTGTTTTTAACTTGTAAAGCTGCTCTGAATTGCTTTGACAATAAAGTCGACGGTTTCACAATAGACTAAAGTTTAATATCACTTTGTTATAATACTCGATTAACTTAAGTTCACGCATTTAAACTAAATATTCAAGAGAATTACTTAAAAAACATTTGCGCAAATAATCAATACTTTTATATTTTACACATACTGATGCAATTGTGAATTAAGGTTGTCTTGTTTACAAAGTACTCAACGTACTCATGCGAAATGAAAAACTTATAAATATGATGATATTTAAAAATAGAATTAAAACTTTATTAATTTTCTGTGACATCTGTGAATACAGCATTAATTAATGAGACCATTTCTCGTATATAGTTCAAATATTACAACTGGAAGATAAGGGATGCATAGGCATATTCTTTAAATAAATTCAGTCCCCGAATACCACAAGTCGTTTAATCGTTCAGAAATCCGGAACCAAGCCCGTGTGACTCTAGCATTGTGCTGGATGTGAATTGTAGGCATACAGCCAGATATTGCTGTATCGTGACGTCACATTTAATGAATTTATTCAGCCAATCTGCATGACATCAACAGGCACAAGGATATCAGGAGTGACTGAAGGTATTGTTGTTGGAAATGGAAAAGGAGGTGAAGCTAATGAATATGAAAATATACCGAAAATCCTCAAAATGCCAATCCAAACTGCTCGACACTGCACAAATAGACGCAGCACATTTCGAGATCTTTTAACTGGACGTACGTTTTGTGCAGGAACACGAACTGGTCAAGGCGTGTGTTCGGGTGACAGCGGAAGTGGATTTGTTGTTGAGATTGGAAGCTCTTCATCTTTGATTGCTTTTCATCTTCGTGGAATTGTGTCAGCTTCACTTGCTGAATCTATACTTGGATGTGATGTCAATTCCTATCCTGTCCTTACGGACGCTTTGAAGTACATCAATTGGATCAATAATCTATAAACTGTTTCTGTTTAGGATTAGCTTGTGTGTCTTGTTAAGGTTCTTTTAAAGTAAGTTTAAGTTTAAGTAAGTCAGTAAGTTTGTCTATAGCTTTAGGATTAGAACAAGGATGACTAATGCTTCCTAGGAGTCAAATTCAAGTTTATTGCTACTAAACTGTGGTATAAAGTTTGAGAACTCCTGGATTAAATAGGAAACTCTTTCCATGAGTTCTTTGGCCTTCCACGTAATTTCTCTCCATCTACAAAATCGGATTTGAAGAACTTTTTTAATGGAGCGTCAACAGGTCTTCTAATAACATGCCCAGCTCATCGAAGCCTGTTTACTTTAGTAAAAGTATGTTGATCATAATTTACAGCAACTTGTGTGGGATTTTTTCTTTTACTTACAGTTAAAAAACAACAAATAAACTTTACGATTTATTCTTATCAATTCAGCAAACTTTAATCTCATTTCAGTCGTGAGAGATCAGATCTATCGGGTGGACCTTGAAATCGCTAGCACTTCCAGCTTTGTGTCCTTTAATTTTCTTGAAGATTTATAAACAGATATGATTAATATTGGTCAAGTGAAACTTATCAAATAAATTTAGGAAGAAAAAATTTTAATAACAATTGCAGTGACTTAATAAGCTTCCTTGATTTCTTATCAGTGACGTAAGTATTCACAAATAATAATATTGCCCGGATAGCAAAAGTCGCTTAATCGATCAGAAATCAGATGCCAAGTAAGGTGGCTCTGGCATGGAGCTTGAATAGATTTAAATTTATTAACCCCAGCATGGTATCGGATTTATGATCAATTAACCGACTTGTGGTTTCCGGCTTAGCCAAATGAATAATCCGAGATTTCACACGTGCAGCTGATCAATTAGTCAATGCAAATAAAAATAGAAAGCCGACTAGTACTTATTCTTATCATAAACTAGTAAATCTGACTTGAAGTTCAGACAAAGGATGTGAGCATTCATTTTTAAATGATTTATGAATCAATAAAACTAAAAATTTAAAAAAAAAATGTGGTGGATGGGAAATAAAGAATAATTTTTTTTAATGGCTGCCTTCCTAGTTGAGCTTATTGGTCTTGAAGTCTCAACGTTGACAATTTGTTCGACTTAGCTTTGCTTTGAAAACACTATTTTGAGTCTAGATCAGTGGTAGCCAACCTTTTCTATATCACTGCATATCTTGGTTTTAAACCTAACAAAATCGCATACGGTTCAAGGTATTTTCTCTATTTTTTTGGTTAATGGGTTGGCCTTTACTGAACTACAATCAGTGATGGTCAACTCATGTTCCACGGTACACTTGTGTGCTGCAATAAAATTGAGAAATTACAAAAGCCATATACCGTGTGCTGTTTCAGCCAAGGTGTGCAGTGGCACAAAACTGGTTGTGCACCACTGTTCTAGATCAGTGTTGTTAAATCTTTTTTGAGCCACGGCACACCTTAGAGGTAAGCCATTACCAAAGTCGCACACAGCATGCGGCTCGAATCATTTACAAAAACGTTCTACTGCACACTAATGTGCCGCGGCACACAGCGTCGACAGCACTGTTCTAGATGAATGAATAATTAACACAAATTGCTTCTAAATCTAATTTTTAGTTCCAGAAGTATAAAACCTTCGTGATAGCAAATTGGAATGAAGCTAAACTTGACATTTCTTTTGAGGTTAAGTTTGATATCATGCTTAATATCAACAGCAGAAGCACAAACTGCAAGATGTGATTATACTTATCAATATCACTGGACTACAGGACATAAATCCACAAATGCGTCTTATTATGCTTGCTCTTTGGACACAAGTCAAGTTAATTTTAATGAAGAACTGACAAACATTGATGGACAACATGAAACAGGCCATGATGATGCTGATGTAAAATGGATTACCAGAAATATAGACCAGAAATTGAAGACATTTTCATCAATTTTCTGCCGAAAGTTCCCAAATATTGAAGTTATTACCATGAACGACATGGATATGGAATCGATTTATGAAGATGCGCTCTTAAATTGCCCGAATTTAGATCATTTGTTTTTGGATGGCAATAAAATTCGTGAAGTTCCTAAAAACTTTCTGACTGGAAATTCAAAGCTGACATTATTGTGGATGTTTAATAATCATTTGACAACGCTGCCTGAAGATTTATTTCTCAATCAATTGGAACTAGATTATTTAAGTTTAGATGACAATCAAATCAACTTTCTGCCTAGCGGCATTTTCCGTACACTTGCGAAGCTTACCGTGCTGAATTTGTACGACAATAATTTTCGGTCCATCAATCCAAAATGGTTTGTGAATTTACAGAATTTAAATAAATTAGCCTTGGATTTAAATCAAATTACGGAACTTCCATCAAAATGTTTTTCAGCGTTAAAAAATTTAGAAAAATTGTGGCTTTTTCATAACAAAATTCAAACTTTAAAGTCAGACAGCTTTAATGGACTTCAGAATTTAAAAACATTAAATTTACGCAACAATGAAATTTCTGAATTGCCAGCTGGTGTCTTTACTCAGTTGATAAACTTACAATATCTTTACTTACAATCCAATAAATTGACAAGAATCGACTCTGATTCCTTTGGTATTCACAATCAGTTGACTGTTGTTTGGCTTCAAGACAACTTAATAAGTTCTATTGACGAAAGATTCATTGACAACACAGCAGTTTCTAATCTCAACATGACAAATAATATCTGCAGCCAATATGCATCTCAAAGTAGACCAAAGGTTAAGAATTATTTCATGAATTGCTTTGCCAACTATCAGCCCCGTTCAGTTCATGTTCCTGCAGCATGTGGACAGTCAGTCATGCCACAAGGACAAATAATTGGTGGTGCAACAGTAAAACCCAACTCATATCCATGGTAAGTTCCAGTTCTGGTCCAATAAAACCAATTTAAAGATGTTCATGCTTAATTTTCAGGATTGCAGCTCTTTTAAGGCCGAATGGACAATTCTTCTGTGGTGGAACTCTCGTGTCGAATCGCAAAGTTGTTACAGGTATGATCAACAGCTCCCACAATCGTCCTTATTACTAATCTCATACCATTTCTAGCCGCACATTGCATCCAGAACAAAGAAGACCATCAAGCATTATTGCCACGACAAGTGATAGTTTTACTTGGATTTCACGATCTTAGTAACTCAATTGAAATTGGACGATCTCCTTATGCAGTTCATAGCATCCAAATTCATCCTGATTGGAATCCATATACATCCTCATATGATGCAGACATTGCTGTATTGATGCTGTATCGTGACGTCACATTTAATGAATTTATTCAGCCAATCTGCATGACATCAACAGGCTCAAGGATATCAGCAAAGACTGAAGGTATTGTTGTTGGAAATGGAAAAGGAGGTGAAGCTAATGAATATGAAAATATACCAAAAATCCTCAAAATGCCAATTCAAACTGCTCGACATTGCACAAATAGACGCAGCACATTTCGAGATCTTTTAACTGGACGTACGTTTTGTGCAGGAACTGGAACTGGTCAAGGCGTGTGTTCGGGTGACAGCGGAAGTGGATTTGTTGTTGAGATTGGAAGTGCTTTTTATCTTCGTGGAATTGTGTCAGCTTCACTTGCTGAATCTATACTTGGATGTGATGTGAATTCCTATTCTGTCTTTACAGATGCTTTAAAATATGTCAATTGGATTGATGGATTATCGACAGTTCCTATTGTTGATGATCGAATCATATATCCATCATGAAGTTTTAATTCTATGTAGTGCCATGTCCATCAGCCATTAAAATTTTAAAATTGCTGAATATCCTGAAATTTTTAATAAAAATTGAATAAAAACCTTTTTTTTTTTTTTCATAAAATGACATTTATTTTCATTATTTCTTGTTTCACATGCTTGACTTGCTTCATTTCGCATTTATTTGTTTGTTAATTCTTAGTTTACAATTATAAGTTAATTTGTTAAAAAGTCATCGAGTAACTTTCTTGGTTTTTTGCTTCCTTTTTTGTGTTAATTTTTCCTTACATTTACTAAACATATACAAAAATTAGATTTTTTATTGTTATTTTTTTTTCTTTTATTGTTGCATAATTATTTTAAGGATTATTTTTTTATGCAGATTATTGAGTTTTTTTAACAAGATTTTGGACTTTTTAGAATTGGATGAAATTAGACAATAAATTGAAAAATAAAAAATTATTATAAATGTTTTTTTTAAATTGATAAATAAAAAGTTTTAAAATTGAAAAAAAAACTTATAAAAAATTT